GTGAGGTTATTACTCCTTACCTTTGTTATGTATGTTAGGACATGCTCTGCGAAAGGTTAAATAAACACTTATATATGTGAAAAGTCAGATACTTTGAGCAAATTCAGACATAATGAATTGGGGGAAGGCGGGAGGAAAATGTTATGCATGCGTTTGACCTGGTCGACCCAAGGCTGAGCCTCTCCGGGTGGATGTGGGCTCAGTGCTGTGTTTTATTAAGGTTTCCTGATCTGAATGAGTGACTCTTATGGCTGGTCTACCCGGGTGGGATATGAGTCGCTGTTTCATTTGAGGGTTTTTGAACAGGAGGATGGGCACCCCGGGTGGGGAAGGCTCAAAATCCTGGTGTTTATTTTAATGAGTTGTGGTGCGTGTTTTCTTCTGAGGGAGTAAAGACATAAGACTAAGTGTACCCTAGCGTTAGGGCGGCTTAGCCATGAGCCATGAACTAAATGGTCAACTAGAGTATAAAACTTGATATATATACAATTTGAACTTATACTTCTGATATACCGGGCGCCCCGGGTGGGGAAAGCCAGTCAGTAACTCAAGTAGAACTAAGAAAGAGGGAAAGAGATGAAGAGTAAAAAAAAGGTAACTGGCAGACTGAACGTATCCTAGGGTTAGGGCGGTTTAGTTATATGCTCATGATAACACTAAGGAGCAGAGAGTTAGTATAAATCTGATTTTATTTCCCCTTCTAAACATGAGGCAAGATCGGAAGTTCCATTTATTTGAAAGGTCCGATCGACTGCTTAATAAGAGAGGGAAAAACATAAAGTCTGTGAAAGTATTTGTACCCTATTTTCTGTTGTACGGCTAACTGGGCGTACCCTAGGGTTAGGGCGGCCTAGCGATAAGCTTTTGTTGTTTAAAGTAAGTTGGACGTACCTTAGGGTTAGGGCGGTCCAGCGTTTCGGTGTTTATAACTGTTCAGGCAGATCAGACATACCCTAGGGTTAGGGCAGCCTGATCACATTGCCTTGTGTAACTTAAACTGTTGTGGCTAGTTAGGCGTACCCTACGGTTAGGGCGGCCTAGTGATATGCGTTTGTCGTTAATGTGTTGTGGGTTGGACGTACCCTAGGGCTAGGGCGGTCAAGCTTGTTGTTGTTTGTACCCGTGTTCAGGCAAGCTAGACCTACCCCTGGGTAGGGATGGTCTAGAATGATGCCGTATGTAACTTTGTTTAAAGCGGATTGGGCACACCCTAGGGTTAGGGCAACCCGGTTCTATGCTACTTGTGGTCAGTTAGGCAAAAGTAAGACGTACCCTAGGGTAAGGGCGGTCTGGTCATATGCCTTATGTGTACAGTTCATGTTATGTTGGGCATACCCTAGGGTTAGGGCAGTCCAAATGTGCGTACTTTACTTGTGTACCTAGGCAGGTCAGGCATACCCTAGGGTTAGGGCCTTGTCTGACCGTATGTCATAGGAAAGGGGGATGTAAAAGGGAAGGAACTAAGCGATTTAACGAACTACTTGGACTAAATTAATGTGGGATTGTGAGAGATGTTCTGGTTATGCATGCTTGTGGGCTCTCACTCTGGGGCATCTCTTTGATAGTTTAGTTGCTTTAGGTGCTCGCCGAGTGCTAGAGCTATAGGCAGGTAGGATGGATGATGGGAGGGAAAGCTTGGGATAAGATAGGACTGGCTCTGCTAGGAGTTAGGATCAGTGTCATCACACAGCCTCATCAAGAGGTCGTACAGATTATCGCTGATCCTACCTTCCAAGTAAGTGTCAGAAGTTAGTCCCAAGTATAGTTATGCCTTGTCTTTTAAGTTTCAGTTTTGTATAAATGTTGGCAACCTCCTTTTCCTGCGGGAAGCGCTGCCGAAATTTCTATAAATTTGAAAAAGTTAGTCATTTTTGAGGAAAGGCACTTTTCCTACGGAAAGCGCTGCCGAAATTTCACAAAATTTAGGGAGTTAGATTATTATTAGCTAAGAGAGACTTGACAAATCCACCCTGGATAGGGCCTGGATAGGGGAGATGATGCCAAATTTTCTCAGTAAATTAGCGTTAGTGAGGGAAGCTGAAAGTGAGACTGATAGAGGAGCTAGGGTACGAATTGGGGAACTATCCTCTACTTGGGTTGAACATAGTAGTGGTTCTCTTTGACCTATACTGTGATGCAAGTTTTCACATCCGGTTGAAGACTCGAATTGTTCGGCCTGATTCTACGAAGGGATCACTTGTCTGTTATCACTGATAACAGGTCGGTTGCTGATTCGTCGGTTTACAACTCAACTTTCCTATTCTCTCCTGCCTCTCAACCTAAGGCCTTGGCCCTTGCCAGGTTTTGTGTGCTTCTTTGGGTTTTCACCCAGTTTCTTTATAAATGACCATTTCTTCAAGACTGAGTGTATTTGTTGAGGGGAAATGGTTGGGCTTGTGTGCGTAAGGCAGAGTGTGAGCTGCAGAACGCTGAAAAGTTGACTCCTTTAGTGCGTGTGATGTTKTTTGAATGTCGAATGTTTGCGRGTATGTATGAGAGAGACTCGATTCAATATGTGATTGAGTAATTATGTTTTGAATTCAGATGGGCAAACCACACAACTGTCGTGAGAGTGTACTGCCCCACAACCTGTTGTTTGGGTGRGATTGTTMTTTTCCCAGCCGGATGATGTGATAATCAGAGTRAGYGTACGCTMGAGTAATCCTTATGGGGCTATGCGACCGCGCGCTTGCGTCCTTCTATTCTCTTTGACTTCGTGTGGTAGGGCAKTTGTCCCAAGYCTGGAAACCAAGATCCTTGTCCGGGACGTCCCAGGCCCTAGACTAACATTGAAGGTATTTTCTTCCGATAGCGTTAAGAGGATTTATTTTTCATCCTTGTTGAGGTTATTTTGGTGGAACGATAAAGTTCCGAGCGGAAGGATTAGCGTGTCGCTGGTGCGCCAGACAACTCACCACCGCTCCGAATTCCTTCCTGCCCTAGGGACCATCTTACCCTGCACCCCTTGGGGCACCTCAGGGTGCAGAAGATGGTAAGGCTCTCAGGCCGGTCTTGCGCTTGCTAAAGGTTTACCCCCCCTTAGCGCGCACTTCAGCCGAGGCCTCAGCAGCGAGAGCAACCCCATGGCTCAACAGAGGCCATTCGGGTATGGGCGTCACATGATGCGCCGACATCACGATCGCTTACGCAAACCCGCATCGTTGGTCAGTATGCGTAGGTTCTGCCTCTGCGCGGATTTATGCTAACCCATGCGCGCAACACTTGCCTATTGCTGCGCTCGAAGGTTATGATACGAGCAAAGAGGGCAAAAGCGCCTCACGATGAGTACACCCAAGTTTCGGCAGCGTGAAACGACACAGGAGGCAGGGAATAAGCCTAGTCGGCCTAAGGGGACCCGTGCACTAGCCTCCAAAAGTCTCAAACATCGGATTGCCCGTGGGTCTGAGTCTGGGCTTCATCCGCACGCATCTTTCGCGTTGGCCTACCCCTCGCTTTTGGAACTACTATCAGACTATCTGCAGTTGTTTCCTCGTTAAAGTCTTCGTGGTCAAAGTCAAACCCCTTGATGTTTGACCGCCACGACAGCTTAAAGCCGTCTACTCAACCCCTCTGCACAGGGTGCAGAAGAGGCTGTGGTCTTCAACCGCACATGGCGGTTGTCTGGCGTTGAGAGATTACCCCTCAAAGCGCCTGTCAGCCGACACTTGAGTGTCGAACGCGACCCTCGAAATTATCAAGGGCCGCGAGGCTACGAGTACCACATAGTACCCCATCAACGCAAATGCTTGCGAATGCCCGCATGGCTGGTGGATATGAGGAGGCCATGCACGCGCATGACTCTTATACGAAAGTCCAGCGCGCGGTACCTACCTGATTCTCGCGGTATRAAGTTATGGGTTGGATACTGAAGGGACTAGGAGTGTTGTAATGTTGTGTTTGTTTTGTGTTTTTCCATGTGTTATGTATGGGTARATGTGAGTGTTGTGGTGTAACGCATGGTGTGTGCGATGCGTCCTGGTCYACCGGCGCYGAGTCACGTTTGGGACCTCAGCCCCCCAGTACGTCRATTCGCGTGCGGGTTCGATTTCTTGGGCGTTCGACCGCGCGTAACCCCCTATGCTACAGCGAACGAGAAACGCCCTCGGCTGGGCCACCTCTGCAATTGCATACGAGAAGCTTTCGCATGTGGTTCAGTAGCTCGGCGAAGATTTGCCCACCTAAGGGATGGTGACAACTCCTGCAGGTGGAGGTAAGCGGTGCCTCGCGTGAACCTGTCTTGTCGTAGGGGCTCGCGAGAGGTACGGTTGGCGCACTCGGCCGGAGCGGCCAAAACGCTCTGCGACAAAGTCCTGCGAAATGCTGCATGACGCGGCCAGGAGGGTCCCCATGCGGGACCGATGCGCTGAATAGGTGGCGCCGTTGCCGGGGATTTCGGCTGCCTACCGGGGTCCATAGTGAACGAACCCAGGTTAAGAGCAGGCTGATGATCTAGGCAAAACGACAACCTTTGATGGAAAGATTTTCCTCCCTTTGATTGATGATGATACGAGTATTGTGACATTCTTGATGGCATGTCAGATCTATTTTTGATTGTAAGTAAGGTTGAAAGTATGCATTGTGTATATGTCCGTTTTTAGCAATATAATCAGAAGTTATAATATAGAGACCTGATAGGCTACTTTAAGTTAAATAAAGATAGTAGTAGAATGATGAAAGTAAGCGAGTGAGAGATTTGACGGCCGATTGTTTTTGTTAAAACTGTTCATTCCTTAACAGGTTTTTGAGAAAGCGTAAAGATGGGGGACGCTGATGGAATCGAGCGGGGCCCGGGTGCTACACCTGAGGACTTCATCAAGGCATTGGAAAAAAGAGAGATGGCACGGCTTCAGGTGCCCAAGGTCAACATTTTTCACTTCAACGGGGATAGAGTGTCCGAGTGGCTTGAGTTGTTGGAGCAGGTCACTAGCGAGGCGTCAGAAGCAGACAAATCCAAGCTGATGCCTAGGTACGTATGGTGGGAACTTAAAGAGAAGATGCAGAGACGGGAATGAAAGTAGCGGCCGGCGCGAATGGTGAGTGGGCAAAGTTTAAAGAGAAGATGCAGAGACGTTTCAAGTTAGGTGACGACCTGCTCACCGAAGAAGACTTGGAAATGTTGAGACGGGACGAGTTCTCAACGGTGGGGGCCTTTGCCACGACATTTGAGAAAATGGCAAAGAAAGTCCCTGGGTTGGCGGAAGAAGAACAGTGTGTCACTTTCCTGGGGCACTTCAAGAATTGGGAAGCCTCGTCGCTAACCAAGAAGGCTGAGCCAGGAAAGAAACTGACTTGGGCCGCCATAAAAGAGGGTGTGAAAGAGGGAGAATTGGACCAGGTAGACATCTTTCAGATGAGGCAGGCCAGGAAGAAAAGGAAGGCTTTGGATGCCACGACAAGTGACGGGAGAGATTTTAAGAGAATGGTAGAGGATGCTGTTGYCCAACTCGATGCGGAAAAAGAGGCGAAGGCAGCAAGAAAGGCTATGGCGGCACCGCAGACTCAGGGAAAGGCGAAGAAGGCGGTGGTGCAAGAGGAGGAAGAAGAAGAAGAAGAAGAAGAAGAACCCAAACCTCTAAAGTTAACAAAAACACAAAGGAAGGCCAAAAATCTGGGGCAAGGCGGACAAGGCTCAGGAAGATGACAGACTCCGCAGGCAACAGCACTGCCTCCCCCGGAGTCGCATGGCCAGGCCGCGCCAACACCCTATGGGCCGTGGCCGGGTTATGGACCTCCCAGTCCTTGGCCTGGGCACTGTTCATACGTACCATGGCCGATGAGTGGACCACATGGATCATGCGCGGGAGCGCCGCTGAGCGCGGCTTTCTGCGGGTGTCCAGGACCCCAGATTCAACAAGTAAGTCACCCGAGCCCCCAGCCAAGCCAACCTCAACAGCCGGCACCACAGGGGTCGCAGGGAATTCAAGACGGCGGACGTCGACAAAACCAAGGATGGGGCCAAGGGCAAGGAAATGGCGGCCGGGGAAATGGAAGAGAAAATGGGGGTGGCAATTCCAGTGGAAGAGGAAATGGGGGTGACAATTCCAGTGGAAGAGAAAATGGGGCTGACAATTCCGGTGGAGGAAGAAATGGGGATTGGAATGCGTCTGGAAATCAGAATAGCCAGGACGGCGGGTGAGGTTTTGGTAGAGGACGGATAGACTTGAGGAATGTCATTTGCTGGCATTGTGGGCAGAAGGGTCACACCATCAAGTTATGCCATGTCCGAAGGAACGATGAAGATGAAGGGCTGATTAGTACCAACTACGACGGTGACATGTAAGATAAGTTTGGATACTACATTGACGTAGAGATCCCTGGTGGGTCGAGAAAGGAGGCCTTGAGACGAGTCGAGGCCGGCGAGCCGCCCGCTCCTCTGGCCATGTTTCGAATCTGGCAAGAGGAGGATGTCCGTCCTGATGTAAGGGTTGAAGAGATAGGAGAGAATGAGGAAGTAAAGCAGGAAAGGAAAGCAGGTACGGTCAAGGAAGAACCTATTGTGGTAGAATCTGACGAGGAGATAGAAAGGGGTTACTGGACTGAGGCCCGGAGATTGATGGAAATAATGGAGGATCTAGTGGCAAAGATGAGACGGTATCAAGACAAATTGACCAACATGTGTGAAGAGGTCAAGGAGTGGAAAGATAAAAAACCACTGGTATATCTCTACGATATGGGTCCAGGACCGCAAGGAGGATCTGGGAGCCTACCAGGCGTAACGATTTCGGGACCAACGCCTCAGTCCGGAATGGCTTATAGGCCACCATCACGGTCAGGAGGAGCGCCACAGGCCGTCAGGACAAGGGCCAAGGGGCCGGTAAGGCCCAATGAGCCGGCAAAGGACGTTCCTGAGCCTAGTGGGGAAAAAGAGACAGTAGACATCCCACAGGATGAGGATGAGAGAGATGAGAGGTTAAGGAGAGAAGAGGGTAAGAGGACCGAGCTAAGAGCAAAGAAGAGGGATGTTAAGGCAGACGTGGAGAGAGTCCCGGAGGGGAAGAAAATGAAGTATGTTGTCCGGGTAGAAGAAGACTATGATGTAGAGGAAATGATGGATAGAATCCTTGAGGGTCATAATCATCTTATGAATCTGAAGGATGTGTTGGCTTCAGCTCCAAGGTTCCGGGACGAGCTTAAAACTCGATTATCCAGGAAGATGGTAGCCAGCGTGCGATTGAGGGCCATAATTCCCAAGGAAGCGGAATGGGCAGAGACAGGCACGAAGATGGATTGAAAGTCCGTCGCATGTGGATGCTTGGACRTAGTAGTAAAAGGAAAAACGTGSACRRCAATGGTGGATACTGGGGCGGAAATGAACCTCATAAAAGAGGAGCATGCTTTGCGTTTGGGGATGGGTATTGATCACTCCGATAATGGAGTTTTAATGGGAGCGAATAGTCGGTCTATGTTCATAGGGACCGCATCGAGAGTGGTTTTGGAGATTGGCAAGGTTAAAGTGAGAAGCTGTTTCTTTGTAATGCTCGATCTCGATCATCCCATCCTATTGGGCCAATCTATCCTGAGCCGAACGGAGACCGTCATACAGAATAAGCATGATGGGACGATGTTCTTTGTCTTATGTGACCCGGTATGTGGCAACTATGAGGTTATCACATGTAGAAATACGGGGCCACAAAGTATAAGGAATAGGCCCAATCCTGATTCTTTCACGATTGAGGAATCGGAAGAAGAAAGGAAGAGGCTAGGGGGAGATGAGTTTGAAAAAGAAAGAAATCCGGAAGCACTGACTCTTAGCCTGACCAATATAGGCGATGCTATGGACATAGTGTCAACCTATGGGATGGCGGACCCGGAGGCCGTAGAGGCCTTGAGATAAAAGGTGATGGAACAAATGGGTGAAGGAGAGGTGGAACAGGTATATCGGACGCCCGGAAAGAGAGGAGGATCGGCAGGAGCCCAACCCCTGAGTCCAACTCGACCTTTTTTATGGGTGGGCTCAAGCAAGGGTCACAAAGGCGGTACAAAAGAGTAGATCAAAAATGCCGCCCTGTTCCTGTGCTCGTGATTGAGGAACAAAAAAATTATGACGAGTGGGAACGAGAGTTGATACGGCAGATGCGAGAAAATGTGGAGAATGGACCATGTCGTATCAATCAAGAAACGGAAGAGGCGCTGATAATAGGCGAACCAGATTTCCTTACAGCGCAGGAGAGGCAATTGATGGTAGAGACCATGAGAGGAAGGCATACTGCCTATGCCTTCAATGATGATGAACGTGGCCGCCTGGATGTTGACAAGATTCCGATGATTCGGATACATAACGTGCCACATGAACCATGAAATCTGCGAGGTGCGTGATACCCGAACCCGGCTGACGAAGAAAAAATGGTAAATTATCTTGACGGGAAGATCCGCACTCATGTCTCAGACTACTCGAGTGGACCATTTGCATCCCCTTGGTTTTGCTTTGTCAAACCAAATGGGACACTCAGATGGGTACAGGATTTGAAGCGCTTGAATGCTGTAACAGTGAGAGATGCAGGGGGTCTCCCTAATGCTGATGCGCTTTCAGAGGCATGTGCAGGAAGATCCATAATATCGCTCATAGACTTGTATTCTGGTTATGACCAGTTTCCTATTTACCCTTCGGACAGACCAATGACTGCAATGCATACCCGTCGAGGGCTGATTCACATGAATGTCGCACCGCAAGGGTGGACGAACGTGGTTGCCATGGTCCAGAGACACATGGTGAGGGCAATGCAACCAGTAAGTCATCACATTACACAACCTTACATCGACGATCTGGCTGTGAAAGGGCCAAACGAGAAGGATGAGAGGGAGGTGATGCCTGGGATTAAGCGATTTGTCTGGGATCATGTGCAAAATCTTTGTAAAGTCCTAGACTTGCTAAAAGAGCATAACCTCACTGCAAGCGGAACGAAGTCCAGGCATTGTATGCGTGGAGCAACGATCTAAGGGTTTGTGTGCGACGAGAGGGGTCGTCGACCAGACACTAAGAAAACGAACAAGATTCTCGAATGGCCAACACCATTCGAGACAATTACAGAGGTAAGGAGCTTCCTGGGAACATGTGGGTTTTGGAGAGTGTTCATCAAAGGGTTTGCGGCAAAGACAGAGCAATTGCGAAAGCTTGTGCGCCAAGGTCAGGATTGGGAATGGGGAGACAAGCAGGAGTCAGTAATAGAGGGTCTAAAGAAAAAGTTTGAGGAAGGGGGTCTGGTACTGGGGGTACCAGACCATGCGGCTGTGATGACCAGACCTTTTATCGTAGAAACGGATGCAGGGCCGACTGCCCTGGGAGGAGTATTGATCCAGCAAGACCTCAATGGAGAAGAACGGCCGCTAAGATTTGAAAGTAGAACGCTTAACACAACTGAGAGGAATTACTCCCAGTTTAAGCGCGAGACCTTGACAGTTCTTCACTGCTTGAGGATTTTCAGAAACTACCTCTTTGGTAGCAGGTTTATGTTGAGGGTGGACCCAACTGCTCTAGCTGGTTCCCTTAAGACCTTCGCTCCTTCAGATCCAACCATTGCGAGGTGGTTGACGTACATCTAAACGTTTGACTTCGAATTGGAGCGTATTCCTGGGAACAAGAATAGGGCAGATGGGTTAAGTCGCGTCGACTGGGACAAGAGCAACAAAGGGGTGATTGAAGATACTCCGCTGGTCGATGGTTTTCTGGACAAGGAAGAGGACGTTAAACTCCACATTAATTCCTGGTCATTGGCTATAGGTAACTATGTTACTCCTGGACGACCTGTATGGCTCGCACCTCCAGGTCATGTGCGGCGGCCGAATATAGTCCTCAAACCTTATATTGAGGAAGATTCTTGGGGAATGCCTGAACTGGAGTGGATGATGGAGTTGGCCTTGGCGGATAAGTACAAGCTGCGGGAAGACTTGGTCACATTGGAGACCGGACCCCAGCAGGTAAAAAAGCATGAACGATTGATAGGTGGAATGTACGTGTTGGCAAACTCGTTGCTCCAAGAAGAGGTTGCTAGGATTGAAGAAGAGAGGCAAGATAGAGAGGAGAACGTGATCCATTAAGGAGAGGACGATGATTTTGAAGAAGGTGAGATAAAAGAGGCCTTTCGCGCAGAAGAATACGACGGAGTATATCTGGAATTGGGAATGCTCCTGTCATGTGAAACAAGAGAAAGAGATGTTAACGAAAKAGTCCTTAAGATGCGACCGAATTTTCTAGTGAGKGGCGGTCATCTATTCATGAGAAATAAAGGAAAGAATCCCAGAAGGGTAGTCTGTGGGATAAATCGACAGATTGACGTCATAGCTGCCCTTCATGATGGAACGAMTGATGGCCATASRAGYACAGATGCAACATACTTAAAGWTTCACGAACTATATTATTGGGATAGCATGGGACACATGATCGAYAAATATTGTAAATCTTGCATACCATGTMAGGAGCRGTCTTCGCTAAGACCTARGGAACYGCTTCACCCTAGATATATATGTGAGGTCGGAGCAGTCGTTCATCTGGATCTATTAGCGATGYCTCTGGGAATAGGAGGGTTTAACTATATCTTTGATGCACGAGACAATCTCTYAGGGTTTGTTGATGGCAAGGTTATTCGCACGAAGACTGGAGAGGTACTAGCTCGATGCATTGAAGAGTACTACCTTCGCTATCCTTTCGTCTYAAGGTTCGTAATRGACRGGGGGTCCGAATTCACCTGTGCCGAAGTGAAAGCGTTGCTGAAAGGGTATGGTGTGATCGCCGAGTATACGACTGCGGCGCACCCTCAGACTAATGCACCGGTAGAAAGARGGCACAGTACCATTACAAATCTTCTCACAAAATGGACAGATGGCAGACCTAATCAGTGGCCARCTTTCCTGAGGGTTGCTTTCTTCGTGGARAATATCACTGTCAGAAGGAGTACCAACTAYGCGCCAGCTACATTATGGTATGGCAGACATGCGACGTTCCCTATAGAAAGTTTCCTAAAGACTTGGAGGCGACAAAACCTCAAGATAAACTTGTCTTTTGAGGACTTGCTTGATCTAAGGGCACGTCRAATTGGAGCCATAAAAGATAAGGTACAGGAAGCGGCAAGTAGGGTGGCTGACAGTCGAACCAAGGACAAGTTCAGGTGGGACCAGTTGGCACGAGTAAGGAAGGAACCTCTTAAGGTGGGAGACACCGTGCTGCTGTACGACTCGTCCCTGGAGAAGCAATGGTCGAGGAAATTGGATAAGAGATGGTTAGGACCATATAGGGTCGCCAGGTGTGGAGAACATGGCGCATACCAAATTGAGGAGCTGAATGGGACCGCTTGGAAGGACTGGGTGTCAGGCTCGAGGTTGAAGAAGTTTGTCGTTCGAGACGAGGTGAGTTTGGACCTCACAAGCTAGAGTCTCTTTCTCTTGTTAAGTATGTCTTTCTGATGGGGGTATCAGTACAGAAAGATTGTATGAACGTTCATTACCATGATATGATGGGTTATGATAGTACGTATGTATGTGTAGGTATGTATGTGTATGCCTGTATAGGCGTCTAGGTTAGATGGGGGGGGATGTGTCTGTCTCTTACTGTGTGCCGAACCTGCTTACACTCTGTATGCTTTGACTTGTCTCTTCCTTGTTGTGCAGGCTTGACACCATTTGGCGAAGCCATGCCAAGAGGGAAGGGAGGGGCAGGGCCAGTGGAGCCCCCTCAGGGGGCAGCCAGATAGAGAATGCAGGGATGAACCAGGAAAGAGGACAGGCCACCCATCTTTCAGAGGAGGGAACGTGGAGTTGTTTTTTGTCCACTTCGAGAAGCATGCCAACAGGTTCAGATGGGATGGAGCCAGGATGCTGAGARAGGTACGAGGAGAGGGCGAGTGGGCTGAGGCCATCGCCAGATATGTACGGGAGTCAGTGACCTGGCAGGAGTTCGAAAGGAAGATGGAAGGGATACATCCATCGCCTGTGGGGAGAGATGGAGTGCCAATCCGGTTCGATGGAACGACCCTGGATGAGTTCTTGTGGGCTTATGACCGGTTTGCAGACAAGCCTTGATGAAGTCCTCAGGTGTAGCACCCGGGCCCCGCTCGATTCCATCAGCGTCCCCCATCTTTACGCTTTCTCAAAAACCTGTTAAGGAATGAACAGTTTTAACAAAAACAATCGGCCGTCAAATCTCTCACTCGCTTACTTTCATTATTCTACTACTATCTTTATTTCACTTAAAGTAGCCTATCAGGTCTCTATATTATCTTTTCTGATTATATTGCTAAAAACGGACATATACACAATGCATACTTTCAACCTTACTTAGAATCAAAAATAGATATGACATGCCATCAAGAATGCCACAATACTCGTATCATCGTCA